CCTAACTTCTGGGCGAGGGATGCGGGCCGGGGCGGTGGGCTCTGCTGCAGAGCTGGCCGGACCCCGATGGAGGCCCCACCCCCATGAGGGGCCGAGAGTGGGGGGGGCTCGGCTTTCTTGGTTCAGGTTTCCTCAGCGCCAACTAGGTACGAGGCGCCTCCCGCAGAAACGGGCACCGCGGGTCGCAGCTCGGCACGTGGAGCGAGCTTACCAAGTCTTCACTGTTGTTACTTGCATTCTTCCCTGGGCCAGCTCTGCCACCGAGTGGACGTGGGCCAACAAGTCTGTACCCATCGGGCCTCAGTTTCTCTTTCTGTACAACAAAAGGGTTGACGAAAGCAGCCTCGCGCTTAAGAAGTGGGGGGCGCGGGGAGCACTCGGCCCGGCGGGCAGAGGCTTTTCTCCGCATTGCGATGGTCGTTAGCAGGCCCTGGGGAATTACGGTAATGCACCTTCGGGGGCGCCCGTATGTTTTGGGGGTAGGGTGTTTGTGATCTTGGCTGGAAAGCGTGGACAGGCGTCTGGAGGACTCCCCACCACATCCTATACCCTGGAAGGCCCCCGAGGTGAATCTATTTAAAAGAAGACCAAAAATTCACCAAGACAGTGGGGAAAACCCAGCCTGATTGGGATTTTACCTAGAAAAAGAAGCTAAATATTACAAAGATAAGTTCGTTTTACCCCATGATTAACAGAGTTTAGATTATGGTTGCAACCACGCACGCCTTAGAATGAACCAAGAATGAATCAAATGTTAACACTGGAAGTCTTATTTTTTCTTGTAGTGGTTGAGTATGTAGCATCCTTCCCTTCTGATTTGGTTTTTGCAGTAAGAGTCATTTTTGCAAAAATATTTGAAAGCTTCCTCAAACTCTAGGATCACTCTGAATCCTTTGGTAGTCCAGTGATTTTTTTCGGGTCTGGGTCACTTCCCTTGCAGACGTTCCCTTTCTCTGTGGGCAGCGGCTGTTCCATTTCTCCTGCATTGCTTCCACCAACTTCATGAAATCCCACACTTTGCAAGACTGGTAGTTTCACTTGTCGATTCATTTGCTTTGTATTTGTTCTGCATGGCTGAATGCTGACAGCGTCTGTTCACCAGCCAGAGACAGATAGGGGATGTATGCGGTTTGAGTACTCAGAGGACAAGGGCATCCACATTTTACAGCTGGGGAAGTGAAGGCTCAGAGAGGCTCTTGGCTCAGACTTGCACAGGGTCCTAGAGTCAGTAACAGCCTTGGGTCAAGAGCTCAGAGGTCTTGCCCAGAGTTTTTGGAGGTAGA